AAATAATTTTCAAAGTTAACCAGATTATAGCCATTTTCCGGATATTTATATCTGGTTGTTCCGCAACCCAGTATTATGAATATTTGGTGCACCTATAATTTTACTGGGTTTTTCTCGTCATCTGGACGATCATCTTAAAGATATAACTTTTTAAGATTTTCAAGAGTGACAAAAATTCTTTACTAGATCTAGTTGTTTGTGAATTTTTACTTTTCTTCTATCCCAATGAATCTCCTGCACTTCTGACGTCAAGGAGTATCGATAGATATCTATGGTCCAATTTTTGGGGAATGTGTATAGGACCAAGTCACTCTTTTTTTTTTTTTTTTTCATGAAATAGCTTTATTTGGCAGATATGTTTGATTTCTTTCTGAACTTCCAGTTCAGTTTAATTGGTACGTGGATTTAATTTTTGAAGATCATTTCATGAAATTTCTCGGCATTCCATTTCAATTTTGATCATATCTCCCCCTAATGCTGTGAACCGATCTTCATGCAGTCAGCGTATCCATCACGTCTCTCTTAGGGGCTTTAAATATTGGAGACAACAGATGGATGTTTAGATGGATACGCTATGGTGGTTATGTAATAGATTGGACTGCATTCATAAGAGTAGAAACGCAGATTTGGGAAATGTTTGTTTGAAAACCACGTATTAGATAGAAGGGGGAATAAGGATATGCAGTGTGCCGAAAATTTTTAGCATAAATATTGCATTTCCCCACCAAGTATCCGGCACATTGGAATTTTGAAAAAATAATGGTTTAGCAAGTAATTTAAATTTAGAGATTCAGCTAAACCCTTTTAGGTGTTGTCATAAGGCATGTGATGCTTTATCATAATGCCTAATGCCATATAACAATTGTCAAAAGTTGACGAGTTGAATTCTCCAACATTATCCATCCTTATATGCTTAAGAGGATAAACGGGAAATTTAATTAAATGACATTTGCTTAGAAATTTGGCAATTGTTTTGTTTGTAATTGACAACAGCCACACATATGTCTACTAGGTGGAAGTTTTGCTTTGCTTCAGGCAAGGAAACTTTGTTGGATTCAACATGGTGCTGTTCGTTCAGGTTTCAGCAAAATGCTTCGGGTGTGAAACACACGTGAGTAGTGCCTTTTACACCCATACATGAAACATAACTTGCTGTTGGGCCAAAGTTATGACTTTATTGTTGTTCTTGACGAGTTGGATCATTTTTGCTTTTTATTATGGTTTCGGAAGTTATTGTTCTTGCCACCTTAGCCTTACTTCTTTCCCGTTTTCTTCCTCAGCCCCTCTTAGTGTTGCACAATTAGGTGACGTCGTGTGCTTCGGGCACCGGTGCAGAACCAACTGGGCATGCACTATAGATTTGCGTCAACATGTGGTTGTGCTTCTACACTCATGGGAGGGGGGTGGTGTGGAAAAGAAGACAAGGGCTCGCCAATCAAATTCGTGCCAGAAAAACAATTCTGCTTACGCAACTTTAATTGGGCCACAATTTTGCATATAGTTGATTTAGAATAAGGAATTTGATTTAAAGTTTTGAAAGATCAAGGTAATGCATTCTAATTGCGATTTTAGAAAGGACCAATGAATATATACTAGTCAAATTTATCCTTCGGGGATTTCTATAAGGCATAATGATCCTTTGCAGGAAGGTATTCAGGTTGCGTAAGAAAAATAAAGCGTTGGCTTTCTGGGCTGCGTCGTTCATGGACATCTCAACGATCATGTCTTCAAAGTGACGTAGGATCGAGATAAATTTGAATATCAAGAGCCCGGATGAAATAATCACTCCCGTCCAGAACAAGTGTGGTAATAGTAGCCAGGATATATAACTTTCAAATCTATGCATACTAAGTCTGGCTAAATCCGAAGGTCCACTTGTAAAGCATAATGCAAAATAAAAAATATTATGCTAATATAACAAAATATGCATAGAAAATCATAAAATCATATGATCCAAATAAATTGCACAAAATAGCAATTTTAATTTATGAGCATATTCAATAATAAATTGAATGGCAATTTGAAAGCAATATAGTTCTCAATGCTTAAAAAAATCAAACTGCAGCCCCAAAACAATTTATATATATAAATAAATCAGGCCCAAATAAAACATGTGGATAAATATATTACAAAACTTGACCATTTAAAAGAAATGATCCATCAAAATGGGCTAAAAAAAATTATGTTATTTTAAATGGACCAAATCGGAGAGAATATAGCCCATGAAAGGTGGTCCAAATAAATGGTATGAAAAAAAAATTAAAGGGCTTAATAGAAAATCCTAGGCCGAAGAGAAAAAACGCTTCTGGCGTTTGTTATTAAAAGAGGCATGCGTTTATAACGCTTCGACAAAACCGACGAAGAACACGAAGAGCGCAAATTATGCCATGGAATCGTGTTCACCGAGAATGGTGAACACAAGGCAAAACGACGTCGTTTTTAGGCCAAAAAAAAAAAATTCGCGGATGTGGAGTTAACGGCGCGCGTTTGATCAAATTATGAATTTTCTGTTATGAGATTATGAATTTTATGAAAGTTCATAATCTCATAACAGAAAATTCATAATCGCATAACAGAAAATTCATAATCTCACAACTGAAAATTCATAATCTCATAACAGAAAATTCATAATCTTATAACAGAAAATTCATAATCTCATGGTTCCAAAGTGAATGTGTAGGCATGGTTCCAAAGTGAATGTGCAGGCATGGATTCATAATTTATGAATGTCCGTGATTTCGGACGGGAATATGTAGGCATGGTTCCAAAGTGAATGTGCAGGCATGAATTCATAATTTATGAATGTCCGAAATTATGAATGTAATGAAAATTCATAATCTCATAACAGAAAATTCATAATCGCATAACAGAAAATTCATAATCTCATAACTGAAAATTCATAATCTCATAACAGAAAATTTATAATCTTATAACAGAAAATTCATAATCTCATGGTTCCAAAGTGAATGTGTAGGCATGGTTCCAAAGTGAATGTGCAGCCATGGATTCATAATTTATGAATGTCCGTGATTTCGGACGGGAATGTGTAGGCATGGTTCCAAAGTGAATGTGCAGGCATGAATTCATAATTTATGAATGTCCGAAATCTTTGTTCACCTCAAATTAAAGTGAAACCGCAAAATGTGAAAATAAAGAATGAAAAGTCACGCAATTAATTAAAAAAAAAAAAAAAAAAAAAAAAAAAAAAAAAAAAAAAAAAAAAAAAAAAAAAGATAACGGTGTACTAACACCGTTAGAACCGTGTTCACCACAGATATTCATCCACAGATAGTGAAGCGAAGTACGGATAAGATGACTTTTAGCAACTATGGAAGAAAAAAAATACCGTTCATCGGAGAAGTAAATTAGGAGCTTGCTGATAACATGTTGTGGGAGATTATGTCTGATGCCTTTAGCTCCTAACCGATGAACATTGCAGATATTGGAAAAGGGGAAAGAGAAAAGAAAACATGTAGAGATAGACAATACTCATTCATCCTCAACATTACAAAATGGGGGTACAACATATATAATAAACTAATAATAATGACAACAATAATGTTGACCGTTACAACCGTTACATATTCTAATCATAATGTCCACACTTAATATTATTTATAACAAAAATGATATAGTTTGAATATTAGATGTATACTTAGTGTCAATATATTTATACTAAATAGTGATTTTAATCCTTCAATTATTTTATAAAACAATAGTTTTGGTCTCTGACAGAAGAAAAAAAAAAAAAAAAAAAAAAAAAAAAGGAAAAGGGTCAAATAGGCCCTCGAACTTTAACTTAAAAGTCAATTAAGCCCCTAAACTTTTTAAAGGTGCAATTACATCTATCAACAATTCATTTAGGTGCAATGAAGCCCAAAAACAAGTTAATGACCTGCTATCGCAGGTCATTAGGGTTCAGGCCACCTTCCGGCGAAATTTCGACAAAAAAAAAAAAAAAAAAAAGGTGACCGGTGGCGACCGACGACCGTTCGTCGGTCGCCGGTCACTTTTTTTTTGCCGGAAGGTGGCCTGAACCCTAATGACTTGTGATAGCAGGTCATTAACTTGTTTTTGGACTTCATTGCACTTAAATGAATTGTTGATGGATTTAATTGCACCTTTAAAAAGTTTAGGGGTCTAATTGACTTTTAAGCTAAAGTTCGAGACCCTATTTGACCATTTTCCAAAAAAAAAAAAAAAAAAAAAAAAAAAAAAAAACTGATAAATTCATCACATTTGCATTGAAGATGTATGTGAAGTCTATTAGTCAATTGCCATATCATAAAAAGGATCAAAATTGGCAGAGTGAAAAACAATAAAGTAAGATTTGTGTCGATAATTGAGAGGTTAAAATTGTTTTTTTTGTTTTTTTTTTTTTATGAAGATTTAAGACAAAAATATGCTAATGTCCTTATACATTATAACAATGTGTAATGTACTCGGACTCCCGCTATATATGTTAATCTCAATTGATGATGAAAAAAAAAAAAAAAACTGAGACCATTTTTGGGGTACCAACATTATGAATATAGTAAATGGTTACAACAAAACATTATTATGTTTTATGCTTTTATACATGCACATCCGTCTTGGCTGGGATCCCTCTTAAAAGGGAAAGAAGACTTGTTAAGTTTTGCGTAGCCAAAACAAAATAAAAAAATAGAAGAGTTAATTATCGAAATTGTGCTTTGATTATAGTGAAATAACTAATTTGGTCATTAACTTCTTTTTTGTTTAACTAAGTTCTTCCAACTTTAAAAAATCTTAACTAATTTGTCCTCTATTTGTTTAGCCATCAAACGTCCGTTTACTCAAGACAACAAATGGTGCATGTGATTATTGAAATGGTCCATTGACTCAACAAAGAGGACTAAATTGGTTATGATTTTTTAAAGTTGAAGAACGTAATTAGATCAAAAAAAAAAAAAAAGTCAATGACCAAATTGATATTTCACTATAATCAAAGGACCATTTCGATAATTAACTCAAGGAAGAAAAAAAAAAAAAACCGTATTGTATGGTTCTATAATTTCAGTTATCATCCATAGTTCATAAATTTGTGAACAAGAAATCTATCGGGTTGTCACATTTTCCGCAGAAGGAAACACAAGTTCCTTTTGCTTCAAACTGGAGTTAGTAAAACTATTTCTACAACACATCAAGACTGTTGACTACTCAACACTAAGCCTTTCAATGCAGGCATCAAACCCTCCAGAACCTCCCTTTTGGTTTGGATTCTATCCGACGAGCAATCTTCTTCCTGTCATATATAAAGTGAAAAGGCAAAACATCATGTCATGGAGTTTATTTCACTGTTGATCACACACCTATAGTGGCATTTTTAAAGATCGACCAAATTCGGTCCACTTCTCGGATTGGTTGATACTAAAAAATCAAAGAACTAAAAGTGGTAATGCAAGTATGCAACCACTATAATCAAGTCACTAATGGACAGGTAAACTACTTCCAACCATACAAAAGTAGAAAAACGCAAAAAATGAGGAAGTAAACTCACATCACCAGTTGCAGCAGACATTAGTGACAAAAGGCTCACTGTTGTGCTCTGGTAATCTGTCAGGGTCTTGAATGCGGAATCATCCAGCTTATCCTAACAGGTTATTAAAGGCAAAGATAAGAGTTTATTCACCTTGTGATGCTATCCACGCCCCCAAAATAAACTTTAACTGCCTAGAAAAGGTATAACTTGTGTGTACAGACAAGATTTCAGCTAGGCATTTCTGGGAAATTGAAGTTACACTCAACATATTGTCATAGAACAATTGAAGTGTTTACCAGACGGTATTGGAGTACAAGGGCATATACTCCCCATGGCTCTAAACCCTACTTGATCTTCCACTAAAGTAGGCATTAGAACATGGTTGGTAAAACAAAACAGAATGAATGCATCGGCTCAATCAAAAAGACATGCATATAATTTGCACTTTTGTAAGGTGCTAGACAGCTCTACTACCAAAAAGAATTTCCTCAGCAATTAGAAGTCTAATATAGTAATGAAAAGAGCAAATTCCACTTCTAGTCCCTATTCTTTTAATTTTGCCACATTACATCTTGACTTTTATTTGCTTGCCACAATTAGTCCTCTGTTTAAATTTTTGTCATTTCACCATTTAATATATCCGGCTAAGTGGCTAACATGTAATTTTATCATTCAACTATTCAAGCCTCTTGCCCCAACAAGTAATTTCTCTCCCTCTCTTGTAAACTCTTTTATTGAATGATTAAATTACATATTAGCCATATTTATTAAATGGTGGAATAACAAAATTTTAAAAGGAGGACTAATTGTGGCAAAATTAAAAGAGCATAACTAAATGTGGCAATGCCACAATAGTCGAGGGCTAAAAGTGGAATTTGCTCTAATGAAAATTTGATGTACCCAAAAAGAAAAAATATTAATGGAAATTTGGTACTGTAAAGAACTTCACAGGATAACAACCTTTAAACCAGAGACAGCAGCAGAAATGGCCCTGCCAGGAGCCTGAAGTGCTTTTCCATGAACCTGTGACCCACACAAAGGTTAGATCTAATGTTGAAAATGATCTAAATATGTGTTATTACTCTGTACTGTTATCCAACAAACCACAGATTAGAAATCAGACCAAACTGCAAAAAATAAAAAAGGTGACTAACCTGTACATAAAGTAGAGAAACAACTTTTGGTAAAAGTGAAACTGCATCAGTTTCAGCAGAAACTTGAGTTGTCAGATCCTGAATAACCACATAGTTGAGAAGCCATCAGAACTATGTACACTTCAAACAAGCAGGAAAGGGAGTGCAGTTACAAGCCACTATAACAGCATGCACTTGAAATAAGATAAAAATTCAAAATCATCCCAGATTCTGATTTATCTTGTTCTATGTAGCTGATAGGTACCAAGAGAATAAGACACACTTCAGCACATATATGACAGAAGCTACAATCCTACAGTTCAATGCTGAAAGATTATTATCATTTGTACTGCTTTAATAAATAAAACCTTACATAAAAGTCAAGCCTCACAAAAGCTCCTTAATGATTTTTATGTACACAGGTTTTAGATCAAATACCCGATTGACTCCCAACATTGTCTTGTATCCCATTGCATTTGCAAAGATTCAGTTCATTTTAGGAGGGTCAATTTGACAAATTTTTAGTTCAGATTTCATCATTAATTTATTCTACTTTGCATTGAAAACGTTACCAAACACAATAATTTGGAATTCAGTATAATTTAAAGAAAGCAGTCAAGGGATAATCGGTCTGGTTCTTTAAATAGCTAGTCATCATTCACTTCTTGACAAAAAGGTGTCTGTAGAAGTAATCTAGTGATACCTTGCGATATGAATGCAGAAGGGTCCTCTCCAATTTCTTATCCAGCTTCTTCAGAATTAATCCGCTGCAAAAAAAAACATACCATTTATTCATTTCCATAGTTTGCCAGAAATACAAATGATTCAAAGAGAAAAAATTGATAGAAACCCCTTTTGCTACCTTTCCTCTGCCAGAGCTCTTAGTGCAGTCATGAACATTTCCACCCGCTGTCAAGCACAAGAAGATTAATAATGTCAGCCAACACTACTGAAAAGATTGCATATGAGGAGAGAATTGCAATGTTTATTCTAAGTATGGAATTCCCATATAAACAGCAGAAATGAGACACAGAATCAATTGAGTTCAGAAGTAAAAAATGTCAAGGTTGTCACCCCTTTTTCTTTAATCATCATCATCATCATCATTATTATTGTCTTGACTGACTTATTCACTCTGGCCTAAAATGGACAATTACAGTAATTGATAGCAACTCTCTAAGAAAAGTTACAAAATCCCCACTTAAAGATACCTTTATGTTAGGACAGCAGATGCAACAAGAAAAATGTGGGCCACAAAAAAATTTTGAAAATTGGTTTCTGAGAAAAGCAAAACACTGACCTTCCCTTCCAAAGCTTCAAGTAGGGCAGTTGCCTTGACAGACAGTGGTCCTGGGAGACTCTTGGCCTGGGATGACAACATATTAATTCTGGAAATCCAGTACTCATTATTAACAAGCAGTACGGGGAAAATTAGGTGACAAAGTATTTACAAGAGCATTTCTATCCCCAGAGTTAAGTGAAGCAGGTTCACGATTTTGAGACTCATCAACTTCAATTCCATTTTTCAATTTATTGTGCACATCCTGCATTGATACATCATTACAACTTGTACTGTAAGACATAACCAATTATATTAGATGTACTGCCAAGAAGAAAAAAAAGCATAAAAAGAATAGTTTGCATAGGTTACCAGGTTAAGAAGCAAAGTATCCACCATAAAGGTTCCTGTAGTTCGCAACAAATGTTTGTGGAGAAGAATCTGTACAGAAAAGGGAAATACTCAATCCATATGCATGACAAATTCCAACTATTTGAACAGGATTTGTATGACTTACTGAGGTTGATTGGTCGTCTTCAAACAGATCCAATGCTTTTTCGTAAAGCTGCATATTCAAAAATGACTGGCAAGAAAAGAACAGAACCCCAATCAGATAATAGTTATGGCTATTCAACAGTTCCATCATGCTTAACTAGGGATTTCAGCAACCATGAAAACTGTGAAGGTACTAAACAACTCCATTATATTCAAAAGCTAACATGCAAAGACATTAGCTAATTACCTCATCAAGTTTCCGTTGCAAGTTATCAAGTAACTTTTTCATTTTCTGTGCATTTTCAGTAAATGCAGCCTTTCTTCTTTCCTTCCATGAATTAACGAGCAGAGGTCTTAAATGGTGTGCTAAAGGCTCAAGAAGTGTCTCAGGATCATCTGAACAGAGTTAAACCAGATTATTTGTTAAAATTATAATCAAGAAGATTTCTCTTATCAGCTGAGATATTCAGGGGAAAAAAAGCATTCTAATTAGACTGTATGCACCTTGTTCCTCAAAGTCAGGATTTAGAGAAACAATCTTTTGAGTAATCCATTCTTCTGAAATAAGGTAAGAAGGATCCTCTTCCTTTTTAGCATTTACTTTTGAGGATACCTCCTGTGAGGTAGAAGAACCTTTGCCTTTCTTTTGGTTTTTCTTGGATTTAGATGGTGCAGAATCCAGGTTATCCGAGCCAGCTTCAGCAGCCCCTGCACGAGTATTTCCAGCAGATTTTCCTTTTTTCTTCTTGGATCCTTTCTCCATGGCTTGTTTATTACCACCACCATCATGGCCAGTCTCATTGGAATCAGCCAAACTACTGGTAGTACCCTTACTGGCATGTAGCTCATCATGTGTACCAGAACTAGCTAGCATAGAAAGATTTAAGGTTTCCAACTCCTTTTCTATACTGTCAAACAGATCCTGCCAAGTATAATTGAAAAAGTAAACAAAAAAGCATGAGAAAATTAACAAGATTATAACAATTGGACTTAGTAATCTGTAAACTGCAATGTCCAAGTCAACAGCCAACAGTTTTCAAGATATACTACAGATGATTTGTAAATCCTACCTTCACAAAGCCATTGCTGAACACATACGACTCCCCCAATATAAGTGCTTTATTGGACTGAGAATCAAGAGAAAAATGAGAAAATGACAAATGTGCCCACAGTAAAGAACAATACAATAAGTGGCAGAGTAACAATAGATCACCTTTAGGGCAGTTTGAACAGATGGACAGAGGGATAGGATCTTGGATGCATCCTGGGAACCAAAGGATGCTGGCAACACTGAGAGTGAATCAATCCTGGAATTTCCAAACAATTAGAAAAAAATAATAATAACTTTTTATAATCTTTTCCTTATCATCTCACTGTTCAAATACTTCAATAGTTTTTCATCTGATGTATAGATATTATAAGAATTGTATCAATGCAGTAGCCTGCAACAATTTTTATTAGTCTATTGCATAGTTAAAAGATGCCTAGATGAGGAAGCACTGACAGTGAACTCACCATGGCGAATCACTAAAGTGAAGACATTTAACCTTTTTTCATAGATTTTTGTCAAATATTTTCACTGTGTTCATGGAATAACTACAATATTTCTTTATGTATAACACAAACAAAATTGAAAGAAAGCTTAGAGTACAGTAAATGGAAGCCTTGTACTCTAAGCTTGTACAAAAAAAAAAAAAATAAATAAAACAAAAAATAAAACAAAACAAAAACAAAAAGAAGAATATATGAGTTTCTCACCAGCTGCCACGCTCCACGGTGTCCTCTACAGCAGCATCCAACATCTCTATTATTGATGGGTGAGCAAATATCGTAGCTAAAGAAGTACCTTCTGGATATCTGGACTAAATTGGAATAGAGTGTCAAGAGTTAATAATATAAATCCAGTAAATCTCCATAGGGAACTGGGAAGACAAAAAAGACATAAAAGATAACAAGAATTCCATCATCTTTAAGAACATTTAGAGGCTTAAATTATTTAAAATTAAAAATAAAATAAAATAAAAAAACAAAACAAAAAACAAAAAACAAATAGCATGAAGATACCTGCAGGAACTGAATAGGTTGTGGGATTCCAAGTTTCTGTAAGGCTTCATAACTAATAAATGAATTCTGGGTTATCAAGAACCAAGGAGTTAATAACAAGAATGCAGAAATTAAGGGGAAACACAAAGGGAAACATGGATGCACTATCAGAAAATGAAAAAAAAAAAAAAAATAGTCTAGCACCCCAGCAGCTTCAATTGTTAATGTCTCCCATTTTGCAGTATTATGAGAGACAGGATATCAGTTTCCAAGCTTACAAGCACATTACAGTACCCAACTTCAAATTTAGGATAACACTCCATTTGAAACTAAGTTATTTCAAATCTCCAACAACTTTACATACCCTATGTGGATAAAACAAGTAATGACAATACACAAGTAATACACAATTTCCAATGTGGATAAGACATTCAGATCATGCAGCGATATGTAAACGGATAGAAACCTGTGAAAAGAAAGAGTCAACACACTCCTTTTGAGCCATGGCAAATACCTGTAACGTCCAATAGAATGCCAGTCAATGTGCAGCAGAAAAATAGCAAAAGTAATGAATACAATAAAAACACTATTTAAACCAATTCAGATTCAATACTATATTAAGCTACATACAGAAGGTGTCCAATGAACACCAGCACGGAGAGCGCCAAGGATCTGTCCTTCTTTAACTAGCCCATTAAATAACGATTGGAAGAATGAGCTTTCAACAGCTACACCACCCGCTCCATCCATTTCTTGCAGTAAACTTTGCAGTGAGTTCCACAAAGCCGACAAGTTCATTGGAACAAAAATACCCCTTGCAGCACCACGGACCATAGCATTCACCCGTGCAACATATGCTGGTGTATACAACTGGCCACCTTCAAGCCTACCTTTTACCTATTCACACCACATGGAAAAATCACTTGATACAAACCAATATCTTCTTTCAGAAACCAGTATTCAATATGATGCTATTATCCAAAAAGAGAATAGTACCAGAGTCCCAAGTCGAGGCTCAATAATGGACACTACTAGTTCCGAGCCAACTTGTAATTGCGCCGCTATTTCAGCAATGGCAATTTGGCTGCACTCCTGCAGCCTTTCATTAATTTCCTCAGCAACAGTGTCCCAATAAGAATTTGAGATTATTTCACCATTGATCAACATCAGTGATGAGTCACTCGAAACTACATGCTGTGATTGTTTCTCTACATGGAACAAGTCCATTCCGGTAGTGTCCGCTAAGTCTATCAACGAAACGCGCCCCAATCTCTTAATTTCTCCAGCTATTTCATTCCTCAAGTGTTCCTACCACCATTTAAACATAACCGCCATTTAAAAAAAAAATAAAAATGCAGAGACATAGGATAACAATCAAAGATCTTGTTATTAATCGCATACTAATCTAACTTCAGAATAATAATTTCCCTCAAATAAAAATAAGGAAATGTTAACAATTACGCCGCCCCCCACCCCACAAAAAAAAAAAAAAAAAAAAAAAAAAAAGTATGTATATGCGTACAGGAGTGATGAACTCTTTGCCGGAAACGGTGTGGAGGAGGTCGAAGTCGAGGATTTGGAGCTGCTGAAGCTTCTGAACCAATTCGACGACGTTGCGGTCGGATAAACGGACGGTGGATTTCGCTTGTTGAGCGAACTCGAACTGCCTCTGCAATTCCAGAAGTTCTTCATCCATCTTCCTATTCCGAAATTCAGCGATTCAACTCAGTCGCGATGGAGAGGAACAAAAAGAAAAAGAGTTTCGACTGAATGAATACTATACTCCGATCAGAATGATCGGCTCAGGCGATCTTAGACCGGGAAAGACTACAATTGGGTCAGCTTAGTTATGAATGCTGTAAATCTGTGTAGTTTCGGAGTCAACATGGAAAAGTGGAGGAGTCCGGCCCAAAGCCCAATCTCATTTAGGCAAATTATATCGTGCACCGTGCATCAAAACGACGTCGTTTTATATAATACGGAATCCGTTTTGCGCCGTTTCGCAAAAAATAACTTTATTCATCAGTTTTATTTTGTATCAGGTCAACACAACTACAGTTTCATTTTGATATAACTATAGTTTCATTCAATATTTATACACTCAAATATGTGAAAATGTTATTTAATTTTATTTTATATACACTATAGTTTCACTAAAACACAACTACATGATCATTTCGATATAATTACTGCTTCATTGTACAATATACACTCAAATATGTGAAATGTTATTCAGTTTCATTTTATATATACTGCAGTTTCATTTCACCACAACTATAGTATCATTTTGATATAACTGCAGTTTTATTTGATAATATAAAAATAATACGTGAGGCAGTGTCGTTTACATACACTGTAGTGTCACTCCGTTAACAATAACAGCGCGTCGTTTCTTTACTTAAAGAAACGGCGCCGTTTTGAAGCGCGATGCATAATCGATTATGCACCGCGGTCCACGATATAACGAATGCATTTTAAGAACACATGACGGATTAAAACGGCAAATTATACTGTGGACCGCGGTCCACAATGCATTGTGGTGCAGACATCAAAACGGTGTCATTTCTTTTAATGAAAAGAACGACACCTATTCCACGTCGTCCGCAAAAAGTAACTTTGATTGTATAACATATTCAGTTTCATTTTGTATACATTGAAATTTCATTTCAACACAACTACAGTTTTATTTCGATATAACTACAGTTTCATTCGATATTATACACTCAAATATGTGAAACTGTTATTCAATTTCATTTTATATACAATATAGTTTTATTACAACACAACTACATTATCATTTCGATATAACTATAGTTCCATTGCACAATATACACTCAAATATGTGAAATGTTATTCAGTTTCATTTTATATACACTGTTGTTTCATTTCAACACAACTACAGTATCATTTTGATATAACTACAATTTTGCTGGACAATATACACTCGAATATGTGAAATTGTTATTCAATTTCATTTTGTATACACTGCAGTTTCATTTCAATACAACTACAGTTTCATTTCAATTCAATTGTAGTTTCATTTGATAATATAAAAATAATACGTGATGCGGTGTCAATTGAAATACACTTTAGTTTCATTTGGTAAATAACACACCAAAAATACGCGCTTCGTTAAGCTGTAACGGCTGCCGTTTCTTTACTTAAAGAAACGACGCCGTTTTTGGACCATGGTCCACGATATAATTGCGGGATTAAAACAGTCCGGGCTTGAAATTTCAGTGGATACTTAGTGGCAAATTATATCGTACACCAAGGCGCACAACATTGTGCGCCCTTGCCAAAACGACGTCGTTTTGTATCTGTTTTTTTTTTTTTTTTTAATTTTGTTTCCCGTATCTGCCGTTAACTTCTAAAAAAAAAAAAATCATTGTTTCGGATGTACATAAATTCATAACAGAATACACATAAACTCATAACATAATACCATAATCTTACGTAATACATAATACACATAAACTCATAACATAATAGACATAAACTCTTAACAAAATACACATAAACTCTTAACATAATACATATAAAATCTTAACATAAAAAAACGATGTCGTTTTAGGCATGGCGCACAATGCATTGTGCGCCTTGGTGCACGATATAGCGATTGATACTTTGTGGCCTATGAAATCATTTCTTCTCCTTAAGGGCCGTTTGGTCCAGTGAATGAAATCAATGAATTGAACTGAATTTGATATTCAATCTCAATTTCTTTCCTCATAATGGTATTGATTTTTTTTTTTTTTAGCAAATTTTACTTTTAGTCATTGATGTTATAAATATATATTTTATGACTATTATCCTATTTTTTTGTATCTCGTATCAAATTTAATTGTACCCCATGTTGTTTGTGTATTGGTTATCTAATGAGAATGCGATTCTGGAGTTCCTGAGTTCAACTTGATCCCCTTCTCTCCCTCCCTCTTTTCTCTGTATGATTTTGAGAGCATATGACTACACAAGAATATACCATAATTTACAACAATTGACTATTATAATAATATCATATTTAGTCCAACTTTTTTAATTTTGCCTTATTACATTCTCGATTTTCATTTATTTGCTACAATTAATCATTCGTTTTAATTTCTATCACTTCATTGATTAATAAAAAGGCTAGCATGTAATTTCATCATTCAAGCTTCATGCCTTAACATTAAATTTCTCTTACTTGTTCATAAACTCTTTTTAATTGAATGATGAATTACATGTTACACATCTTTATTAGTTTTTTTTTATTGATTCTCTCTAGGAAATTTCCTCTCCTTTCTTTCTTTATTTTGGTAAGTTTCCGTTGCTAGTATCGTCCTTCCATGGAGGCTGCGGCCGTCGTGCCGCCGTCGACCTCCCCACCGGTGGTGGACGGGGGAGTGGGAGGGCCCTCACCAGTAAGAAAGCATGTGAAAGTACTCAAACAGACGTTCGCCGAAACTACAACGGCAACTCCCTCGTTGGGAGACGATAACATGACAGAGCAATCCGACGACGATTGGCTTGAGGAAAAATCGGTGGTGGAAACTGAAAAGGTTAATAAGATTGTATACGAAGGGGTTCCAGTTGTGAGACTATCAAAGGAGCTTCGTGCCGATTTGGAGAAGCCTTGGTGCAAATCCCTGATCCTCTAGTTTCTAGGAAAAGCCCCAGCCTTCCCGATCGTTCAACAACGTATGATCAGACTTTGGAATCTAACAGGGAAGGTGGAGATCCTAGACCTTGGCTATGGACACTACATTGCTAGATTTGGTGTCGCTCAGGATTACAAACATGTCCTACTTGAAGGACCGTGGAAGATTTTTGGTTGTTACGTCATCCCGCAGAGATGGAGATCGAACTTCAATCCTCAGACCGCCAAGATGGAAAAGATGGCGGTTTGGGTACAACTACCGGGGTTGCCATTTGAACTCTTCAGGGAAGACGTGTTAAGGGAAATTCTTGCACCAGTAGTTACTTTGCTAAAAATTGATAAGACTACGTCGGAGGTAGACATGGTGAAATTTGCAAGGGCATCAATTGAAGTTGACCTTCGAAAACCCCTCGTGGCCATGGTTGCAGTTGACGACTGGCTCCAGAAGGTTTCTTTTGAGGGCCTTCATGTGATATGTTTCGACTGTAGTGCAGTTGGACATGTGTCCTCAAAATGCCCAAGGAATCAAGCTACTGAAAATCCTATCACTGAACCTACTCTGGTGACGGAGATGCATGTGGATGACAATGGGCAGGACGTGACTACGAAAGTTATCCAAGTGACTGAGAAACATGGGTCGTGGATGGTTGTGACTAACAAGCATTCCAAGATGAAAGATAAGGGGAATGGCAAGGGAGTCAAGCCGGCAGGCAAGCCCCAAGTCGATAGCCATCCGGCGAAAGGGAAAAAATAGGTGGTTGGCACAAGGCTGCACGCTGAGAAGCCAGCTCCAACCTCCGCCAATATTGGTATCCCCTCCCCCTCTTTTGTTGATAAAAACTTGTTTGCAGCTTTGCAGGATGAGGGTGCCCTCCATGATACTCCAGTTCTGGCGGAAGAGGTGACTACCAATCTTAAAACTGCTAAGCCGAAACAAACGGAGAAACACTCCCAAAACCAATCCTGGGACGAAAGCTAAACTGCCTTCTGCAATTGGGAGAAAGATTGACAGGATTAATGCCGTGAACAACTCTAGTGTGAATGCTGGAAGGGTGTTTGTTTTTGGTTCCATCCCTGAAGTCGGATCGACAAGTCAGGTGGGTGGTTCTAGAAGTGGAGAGACGACGCCAGATGGGGGGTGGTAACCAAACCCCCTCGTCGCCAAGTGGTTCCTCATGAATGTCATCGCTTGGAATTATCGGGATATTGAGAACCGGGAATCCATTCGTCACGCCAATCTCCTTTTAGCTGAAAAGGTCGTGGGGGCGATTTGTTTCCTGGAAACCAAAACTAATAAAGCTGACAAGCTGCTTAAAGCGTTAGGTAAGTTGGGCTTCAATGACTCCTACATTGTTAACACCCTTGGTTTTGCAGGCGGACTCCTCTTAGTTTGGAATAAAATCTTACCAGACTTGGATATCGTCAGTAGTAACACGCAAGTGATCCATTGTCGGCTCTCTTTAGGTGGCATTTTTTGTGCCTTTGTCTCCTTTGCTTATGTCAGACCGAACCCGAGAGCAAAAGACCTGTTTTGGTTGGATTGTAAGCGCTACAGCAGCTCAATAGCTAATTCGAGGATTTTGTTAGGTGACTTTAATGATGTGGCCTCTACCAACGATCAGTGGGGGGAGGGGAGGCACCATTAATATTAATAATGTTAATAAATTCTGTGAAGCTTTCAGTGATTGCAGGCTCCAAGAAGTCAACTCTACCAGCCCTAAGTTTACGTGGACAAGACAAGTGGGAGGTCGTACCACTCTCAGACGGAGACTTGATCGGGCCTTTTGGAATATAGAAGCTCAGTCGTTGTTCCCCGAAGGAAAATCTAGGATTCTGACTAGAACCCATTCTGACCATAACCCCATAGCTTTTGTTAGTATTGCAGGTTCTGCACCCCCAAGGAACAACCGCCCATTCAGATTCGAAGCTGTCTGACTAACTCATACAGGTTACAGAGATATCTAGAAACAAGCTTGGTGAAACCGGGATCATGACGCTGGTGGAGCAATCGAGGAAGTTGTCAGCCTCAGTAAGCAATGGAATGAGAATACGTTTGGTAATATTTTTAAAAGAAAAAGACTTTTGCAGGCTAGAGTGCATGGCATCCAAACCTCTCCTTAGTATAACACGTCCCGGGGGCTCCAGGTTTTGGAAAAGAAACTTCTGAAGGAGCTTAATAAAACTTTGGAACAAGAGGAACTCCTTTGGTTCCAAAAGTCTAGGAAAGTTTGGA